AAGGAGTCTCGCTCTGTTGCTCAGACATGGGTATAGTGGGCTCACTGCAACCTCCACCTCCCAGGTTCACGCAATTCTCCTGCCTCAGCCTCCTGAGTAGCTGGGATTACAGACTCCTGCCACCACACCTGGCTAATTTTTGTATTTTTAGTAGAGACGGGGTTTCACTACGTTGGTCAGGCTGGTCTCGAACACCTGACCTTGTAATCCACCCATCTTGGCCTCCCAAAGTTCTGGGATTACAGGCATGAGCCACCATGTCCGGCCACTGTCCTGATTTTTAAAAATGCTTCTTCAAGCTTTCTTACCTTTTTCCCCTCACTCAAAAGAGGAAAGAAAAAAACAGGAATGTACTCTAAAGTGATTCCTGGCTCGTACCGTGGAGTGAACGATGGTTTAAGAGTCAGGAAACCGCAGTTCTAGTTTCAACTATACCACTAACGAGTAGTCACTCAGCTTCCCCGAGTCTTTGTTTCCTCATTTATAAAATGAGGGTTTGGTGGGTATGGTGGCAAGGGACACAGGAAGTCTAGGTGGCAGTATGGCTTGAGGCCAGGAGTTTAAGACCAGCCTGGGCAACACAGTGAGACCCCATCTCTACAAAAATTAATTAGCCAGGCATGGTGTTGCATGCCTGTAGTCACAGCTACTTGGGAGGCTGAGGTGGGAGGATCGCTTGAGCCCAGGAGGTTAAGGCTGCAGTTAGCCATGATTGCGCCACTGCACTCCAGCCTGGGTGTGAGAGCACTTAAATAAATAAATAATAGTAGTAGTAGTAGTAGTAATAAAATGAGAGTTTGCCCTGGGGCCCCATGGGTTTCTAGGCGTTCATACCCCTCTCTCTCCTGATACCTGAAGAACACAGCTGTGATTAAAATCACTTTAAGGCTGGGTGCAGTGGCTCACGACTGTAATCCCACCACTTAGGGTGGCCGAGGCAGGTGGATCATGAGGTCAGGAGTTCGAGACCAGGCTGGCCAACATAGTGAAACCCATCTTAACTAAAAATTCAAAAAATTACCTGAGTGTGGTGGTATGTGCCTGTCATCCCAGCTACTCAGGAGGCGGAGGCAGGAGAAT